TATTAGTACTGAAATGCCAAACTTCTTAGAAGTATCTCAATATAATTATAGTAAAATACTATCACTCTTCCTTATGGCTTTAATACTCAAAATTACATTTATTGACTTCATATATCAACTCAATATAGCTACTGAAATAAAAATAATAATAAAATCTAGCAACACATAAACCAATAATCTCACATGCATCATTTAGTGCATATGCAATTTTCCTTCTTCAAAATTCATCACATTAATCTAAAAAATAATATAGCTTAAAGCATCACACACAAGCACATTGTTTCTTTAATATAAGAAAACCATGTGCTCCACTATTTTAACATATGCATAAAAACAATTATATAAGCCATTTATTAACTCAAGGTAGCTAATAAGCATAACGACACAATTAGCAACATAAAACACGATGATCCACGTCAAAATCAATTTCACCAAATATACGTTTCAAATAATATAACTTTTCCCTTCACAAAAGTATTTCTTGTCTACCAAGAAATTTATTTTCTCTTTTTATACCAAGTAAATAGATTTTAGCTAAGCACCCCCACATTTTTAAACATTTGAAAAATTAGGCTCATAGACAATTCTCATATAAAAGAAATGGTTCAAAATTAGTCATCCAAAACTACATACCAGGCATGCATGCACACAGATAGTAAGACCACTGCACTCAAAAGCTCCTAACAGAAGGTTATTATGTGGAGATAATCTTTTGCAATCACCAAGGCCTATTCAACACAGTTTGATTCTCAACATATATTCACAATTGCATGCATGAATACATACTTCAATTAATTTTTAAATATAAAGATAAAGAAGACTATCCACAGACAAATTGTAATCTAAGAGGTCTGAACGTACCACTGAATCATGCATCCAGCAAAAATGATTTTCGGACATGAAAATTAATTAACCTTAATCGATGCATTTCTCAATTTTCAACAATCACAGTTAATTTTAATAGAAAGGATTCAAAGAATTTTCAAAATATTATATATGACATTGTAAATATGGAGATATTAATTAAAAGATAAAAAACTATAAACAATAGAAAATTACAAATACAGACAACGAATACAGGCAATTAAAACATTATAGAGCAAGCTATTAATTCAGAAAACTAAACATATACAATGTGTGACATCCATTTTTACAATAGTCTTTTACAATCTCAAGTCATCGTAAAATAAAATTTATATAGTTCACCACACATTTCATAATTTTTTTTTCAATAATCATAATAATTTTATCACATATAAGAAATAACTCTAACCACAACTTTTTCAAAATTCAAACTCTTTAAATACCTCATTTAAAGATAACAAATTTTCTGATGTGAATTTAAACAATTCCTCTATTTCGCCATCTCCTATTTGACAATAGGAGGAAAACGCTTTTGTATTCACAAATGAATTTGGTAGCCTCAAAATCTACCACATATTCATTCACACATCACTCGTCAATTTGAAAAATAACTGCACCAGTTATATCATCACCGCCAACAAAGTTTACACTTTATTTTGGTGGATGTTTTCCCCAAAACTTTCATTATTTAAAAGTCACTTTTTAACAAAGGCTATAAAAAACATACCATAAATTTGATCATGGTTGGGAGCTAGAAATGTAGTCGTACTTTTGGCGTCACTAGTCATGACAAGAAGTGTGTCCGCCACGTTGACTGTTCTGTAGCTGCAATTTTTGTTCGCCAAATAATTCCTTAGGTTGTTGGCTCTATCCTTCCAGAATCAACGTGTTGACCGTGTTGTTCCTAAGTTGACCTCGTTGACCATCTAGCTCCGAGAATTGACCTGCAAAATAATCACTAAAAAGAACTAAAAATTATATTAGAAGCTCGAGACGCGTCAGCGTCTGTCCTAAGGAATTATTTCCGGCGTACAGAAATTTTCCCCAGGATATAACGAGCCCTTCGGTTATAAAACCGGTACCAGAACTAACGAGAAGAAAACTATATATGAACCCAATAATAAAATATGATCTTAGCATAGTAGCTTTTGTGAAGAAAACTTCCCCAACGTAACAAGAATAAAAGTAAGGAATGCACTTTGATGCTCCTTGAGTGTTTGAAACAATTTTCGATCGTACTGCTCAACTACTGCTTGCTAGTAAAATAGCTTTGTTGCTTTTAATCTCTATCCCTTCTTCTACTTCAAGGAGCTGAGATACGAACATGGGTATAAGAGGCATTATAAGCATTAAATTAATGATATTAAAGTAAGAATTGATTAATATTAAAGACAATTAAATCATAGTGAATATAATATACATGCATAACGTATGTACTATACATGCCTAACGTTAAGAGTATATGTTAAGACAAATACTTATTAAGTTAATTGTTTAACCTTCAAGGAATAATAATAATAACTTAAAAGGTGTTCGGTAAAATGGTGTTTTGAGTCATGATAAGTTTCCCACAAAATTAATTAAAACCTTATTCATTTGAAATACCCCAAAATTTCCAACACGTTTTTCAACTAGTACGTGAATCTCAATTAGGTTTCAAGTGTTTGAAGCTTTATTTTTATCAGTGTCATGCATGACGAAGAAATAAAAGTAAAGCTTAATTAAAGAAAGAAAAAGATACCTTGAAATCCTCCCTTAGAAATAATGTATATAATCGTGCACTTCTAATCTAAGAATATACGCAGTAAAACTCATCATCAGGATAATAATGTTACTCTTATACAGGAAAAAATTGTATATTTATGTTTTAAATATAAATATATTTATATTTATATTTTATACTTTAAATTGCCTTTACTGATATTTTGGGAATATATTATATATATATATACATATATATACACACATACATTATTACCAAGTTATATATGGAGTATCAGTTAATACGGAATATGTTTTTCTCGAATTTGATTATTAAATTGTATCATCTCTCTTTCGTAGTTACTTAACTTATTATATGCACATAATTAATATTCTCTCGTTACATTCCTTCGCGTCTGCATCTACCTGGCCATTTATATATATTAAGACCGGCTTGAATACCAATTCAATTAAGAAAGTGATGAAGCTAAGCTTCTACATAGCACTTAATAAGTATCTAAGCTGAGCCGTTTAGCACTTGTTAAATTTAAATGTAAGCCTCTAATGTTTTTTCCTTTCAATTCAACTAGCCTGTGCATTTATGATTAATTATTGGTTTGGATTTTGTTTGCTATTTTTGTTAAATCTTGTTAGGATTAGGAATGTCTATACATGTACTTTATGAAACTTTGATCAATTTCGTGATGCACTTTGGTGTTATTAGTCAAGTTCACTTTGATCATAGCCATTAAACATTGATTATATTACTTCTCATTTGATTAAATATGGTTCGCATTTGATCATATATATAAATGATCAAATACCAACATCTCCAAATTTGCAAACTCATCCAATGAGTTGATCTAAAGGTTATAGGGTCAAGTTCCGGTGATAACATTTGTTATTTTGAGAAATGAGAACAACTCAAAACAATGCTCATTATGATTCTTGATGTGCAAATTTATAGTTAAAATAATGCAAAGTTCAAATGTTCACATTTGTGGATAAACTAATGCACAATTCAAATGCTACTAATTTATGATAGTGCATGTTTGTGTTTTACATAATGCACGATACGCAAATCCAACGCTCCATATTCATTCTTATTTCTCTCCTAAGATCATGTTCTCATTTGATCATAATTATATATATATATATATATATATATATAGAATGCTCATCCTGTCCGGAATTTCCGTACAGGAGCCCCGTCTGGCCTCCATTTGGGGGCTTTCCCGGTGGTATTTTTTGCTCAAATTTTTTGTGTATGTTACTCATCAAGTCTAGTTCATCCATACCAAATGTGAGCAAAAAATTCAATCGGGAAGGTCGTCAAATGATTTTTAGCATCTTCATCAAGTCTAGTAAACTCATACCAAATTTCAGATAAAACTTCAATCGGGAATGCATTCAAATTAATTCTTGAAGATAACTGTGCAGTTAAATGCGCAGTTATCTTCAAGAATTAATTTGAATGTGTTCCGATTAAAGTTTTAGCAGGAATTTGGTATGAGAAAACTAAACTTGATGAATAAGATGCTTAAAATTTTTCATCAAAAAATTCCACCGGGAATCGTCCCAAATCGCGACGGCCGGACAGAGCCTCCTATATAAGGACTTATTTGACCTTTTTATGAAAATTCGAGGACCTATTTGACGGTTTTCTCTTATAGTAATTATAATTATAATTATAGAAATATTCAAATCAGATCAGATCAGAAAGATTCAGATCAGAAGGATTCAGATCAGATCAGAAACATTCAGATCAGAAAGATTCAGATCAGATCAGATCAGAAAAAATCAGATCAGATTAGAACCTAAAAAATTCAGATCAGAAACATTCAGATCAGCTGAAGAGAACAACTTCTTAGTGACCTTATTTTTTGGTTTATCAGTCCAATCACTCTTCTTTTTCATCAAACAAGTAACTTTTGATTTAGCGCACCGAATTGTATAATAATCAAAATAAGTAAGGTTGAAGTTACTTTTTTTGGTGAATTGACTGAAGTTATTGAAGAAGACAATTTTAACTATTTTTTCATACTCCGTATAACTTTTTTCTTTAATTTAGTAATAAAATATACGAAGTATTTTTATACAGTTCAGGTAGAACTTTCATAAATTTCAGCAAAATGATTCATCCAATTTCAGTGTTACCAAATGAAGTAGTTTAATAATTACGGAGTAATGTTTTTATCTGCATTGGTTCATTGGTTTGATTTGATTATATTTACTATTTAGTAAACTCCATTGCAACCTTTATCTAATCTGTCCATTTTTAATTAGTGATTTTTGACTTTTTCTATAGCTAATTGACCTTTAGGCTTTAACCCGTAATATGTTTGTACATGAAAAATTGATTGGTGGACGGTGGTGATGCAGATCATTGGTTCCAGTACCCACGAATATCAGTGAGGACAACAAAATGGTGGACAAAAGACATCCTCACTTCTTCTTCATCATAAGCATTATCACCTTCTGCTTTCAAGCAGTGGTTCCATCTGATCTAGGAGGAGAGAGACAAGCCCTTTTGGACTTTGCTAATGCTGTTTTGGTTATCCCTGGGAACCATAAGCTGGATTGGAACCCGAGAGGTCTAGTGTGCAATCAATGGGTCGGTGTCAAATGCAGCAATGCAGCAAATGGGAGGAAGAGAGTAGTTGAGCTTCATCTTCCCGGGTTTGGAATCCATGGGTGTATCCCAGAGCATACAATAGATATGTTGGATGCTCTCGAAACTCTCCATCTTGAGAATAACTCGCTCACCGGACCGATACCGCCTGGCCTCGGCCACCTCCCCAATCTTAAGCACTTGAACCTAAGTAACAATCACTTCACTGGCTCCATCCCCTCACCCCTCGGGCGATTTCATCCTTCTTCATTTGGAGGGAATAATAATCTTTTCCTATCTCACCGCCATCCTATTATTACTACGACTACTACTACTACTTCTCTGGATCTTGCGGGTGATCTACCCGATCCCGATCCCGAGCACCCGCCGCTGCTTACTCTTTCAGTGTCAAGAAGGCTTCACCAAAGAAGGAGGACTTGGAGGAGTAAAAAATCTAGAAAAGTTTGTTACATTGTAATAGGGTGTATATCCGGTGTAGCGTTTGTGTTTATCATCATCTGTCTTGTTGATTGTTATCGCCGTAGCAGGTGAGTATAGGAGAGGCCCTCCCATAAATAAATAAGAATAAATTGTACGTCAATCAACACGTACGATGTCATATAATTGTAAATAAATGCAATTCAAATGTGTAACTAACGTTTAATTATAAAAGTGCATCATGTTATTCATTCTCATTTAGATGAGGACCTCCGATCCGAGGCAATATAATCTTGAGAGATCATGAAAATAAAGTAGGAAATTGCTCAATTTATTACAGAAGACAGCATATAATCTTTAGAGATCGTGAAAATAAACAAGAAAATAGCTCAAATTATTATACTCCCATTTCAAAATTCCCTACGTACACTTTTTTTTGGGATGCATTTAAAAGTTCTCTACACTTCCATTTTTGGTAAGTTTATCCTTTATAAAATACTCAATTATGCTTACTTTATCTACTTTTTATCTTCTTTTCATACTTTTACATACTCCCTCCTACTTTTTCTACATCATATACTACTCCTACTATTCTATCCTAAAATCTTGTGCCCAAAACTAGTGTAGAGATCATTTAAATACGGAGGGAGTAGCTTTTCAATCAGGCGTATGATTTGTGTTCTTAAGTCGTAACCATCTGTCTTGTTTTATGTTATCGTTATCTTAGAGAAAACGATAACAAAACAAGACATTTGTTCTTCTATTAATTGAGCTCCAAAAATACTGTGCCAAAAGCAAACGTCAAGTACTGTTCGGGGCGGAGGGAGTAGTTTTACTGAACGTGTTTAATATACCTCAACGTCTTGTATATTACTCCAATATTAAGTTTAAAATCAACATGTCACGGTTTCCAAAAGTAATGTTTAACCATGCATTGATATGTAAAAATATACCCTTAAAAAACTTATAATAATAAAGTAACATTTCAATAATATTTATTAATATGAATAATTCAAAACAGTTTTGGTATTATAAAATAATACAGTATTTGACTAATTAACGCTCAAAGTTAACAAAGTGTCACTCAAAAAGTTAAACTGTAAACTTAAATGTAGGACGGAGGGAATATTATATTCGATCAAGCATTCAAGCCTTCCTAAAACTAAAAGAGTAGTAGGTATGGCTGGACTCGGGCCGGTTCGGGCCCGGTTCGGGCCTGGGCCCGGCCGGGCCTCGGGCCAGAAAACTAGGGCCCGGGCCCGAACCGCCGGTGGGCGGTTCCGGTTCCGGTTCCGGGCCAAACCGGGCCGGGCCGGGCCGGGCCGAACCGGCCCACTTAATTTTTTTTTTTTTTTTGGTCTCCTATTTAATCCCCTACCCCTCCCCCTCAACCCCAAACCATCCCAAACCACCTCAAATGGCCCAAAATACCTAATCCAACCTAAAACTTAAAAAAATTTCAAAAAAAAAAAAAAAAAATTAAAATCCGGCCCGGACCGGGCCCGAACCGGCCGGGCCGGTTCACCAAAACCTGGGCCCGGGCCCGAACCGCCCAGCAGCCGGGCCGGGCCGAACCGAACCGGTGGACCCACCGGGCCCCGGGCCGGGCCGGGCCTAACAGTAACCGGGCCGGGCCGGTTCCGGGCCGGGCCGGTTCCGGGCCGGGCCGCCCGGCCCGAGTCCAGCACTAGTAGTAGGTGCCGGCAACTTGAATCGTTGAATACCATTCAAACTTCATAACAACAAAGGTTCTCTTATATATTTATACTAGTATTATAATATAAACAAGATATGGAGGTAACAAATAACGTACTCCGTATAATATTACCACTGTCCCAAAATGATGATTGTTTATTTTCTATTTGGATTATCTCAAAATGATATTCATGTTTTCTTTTTTAGTAGAAACAATATTGTAAATTTGGTAAAGTTTGTGTGATTCTAAATCATTTTTACTTTATTATTAAATTATCAATGTCAACCGCATACACTCATTTTTCTAAATAATCGTGACAAATGTTATGGGACGTCCCAATGGTTTTATCATTTATACCCATTCTTTGATGAAAAGTACAAGTGGTGAGAAAAGTAAGATTATATTGATCATTCTATTACACTTTCTCAATATTTGAACTCAAAAAATATAGGACCATTAACTTGAGACTAAAATGGGACCATCCATTTGGGATGGGAGGGAATTCTATCAACCAAATCAACAAAACAAGATGCCCAATGACAACAAAAAACATTAGTGTCGTGCACAATAGTTTGAGAGGAAAAACAAAATCAAACCAAAAGTATGAAAATATTTCGATAGTTATCTAAATTGGTTGACACAAAAACCTAGATAAATTTGGAACTTCTTTTTTTCTTTTTAAGAGAAACAATAATTCAAGATTATTATGAGGAGTTAATTGTATTAAGGAATAATGCCTTCCTTAACAATAAATTTAACTCACAATACACACAGTACAACACAAAAGGGCAAATACCCAAACACCTCACACATCAATAACACTGGAAATGAAGCTTCTACAAAATGAAAGCAACAGAGAAATTAAGCATATTAAGGTACAACAATTCAATGCAAGATAAATTTGGAACTTTTGAGCTTCTAGAAAAGCCACCACCAAAACCCGCCCGGTTCAGGTTTTCAAACATTCTCCCGGCCCGGGGGGCTTTTTTGTTCTTTTTTTAAAGATGGGCTTTTTTGTTCTACTAGCAAGATTTTGTGATATGTCATAATTTCAATGAAAATTGAATTAAACTACTACACGTACGTAATATTCTGTATATTACGATACTCCGTATATATACATACCCAAGATGATAGACATTCAGTTTTGGCTCGGAAAAGTTCCTGAAATAGGACTAAAACTATTTGAAAATTTCAAAATAGGACTGTCGTGTTTTTTATTCCCAAAATATGAGTAATTACTGCCAAGTTTGGAAAATACTGCCATGTTTGAAGTCTGATACTGCCAAAACATGGCAGTAATTAGTCCTATTTTGGGAATAAAAACATGATAGTTCTTTTTTGAAATTTTCAAACATTTTTAGTCCTATTTCCGGTAATATTCTCTTTTGGCTTTTATTTATTACGGAGTATATATATATGGTACGTATTAACTCATGTGAAACTTTTCCTAAAAGTAAAACATAACATTATTCAATAGTTTGCGTTGGTGGTAGTGTACCAGGACTAAACAAACACCAGGCCAATATCAAGGGTCTCAATAAAATCAATACGAAGTAAAATAAATAATAAAACAAATAAATACTCCGTAAATAAATAATTAAATATAAAATAACGTAACATACGAGAGGTATTTGAAGTAATATACGGAGTGTTTTAATTAAACCTAAGAGCCCTTGTCAGCCTTGGCAGCCGCAACGGCGGCTTGACCACGGACACGGCCAGTCCTCCTGGCGGCGAGCAGCCCAACCTTCTGTCCCGGCGGCGCATCTCGGCGAACAGTACTTGCATGACCAATGTGCTGGTGGTTACCACCACCGTGGGGATGCTCGACCGGGTTCATAGCCACACCACGGACCTTGGGCCAGCAGTTCCTCTTCACCCTAAACTTGTGGTAGGCATTCCCGGCTTTAAGCATCGGCTTCTCCGTACGCCCGCCTCCGGCCACCTGACCGATCATAGCCCGACACGCGCTGGGAATAATCTTCTTTGCCCCCGACGGGAGCTTAACCCTAGACGTCCCAGCGTCGGGGTTGTGACTGATCACGATGGCGTAGTCGCCCGAGCACCTCGCGAAAGCGCCCCGATCACCGACCTTGTGCTCGACATTGCATACGACGGCTCCCTCGGGGATGGACCGGAGAGGGAGCACGTTCCCCACGGTGAGAGCGGCCTTCTTCCCGCAGTACACAAACTGGCCGGTGTACATGCCCTCGGCGGCGATGAAGAGCTCCTTCTGGTGCTGGTAGCGGAAAGGGTGGCGGAAATTGACGCGAGCGAGCGGGGCGCCGCGGCCGGGATCGTGAACGATCTCCTGCACGACGCCCTTGAGATAGCCATTGCGCTCCCCGAAATCAAGCGGGCGGAATTTGGCCGGCCCTTTACGGTGGTGGGTGTGAGACTTGAAGACGGAGCCGGCACCTTTACGCTGAGCGCGGATGACGCGACCCATAGTGTTGTCGGCGGAAGTGTGGGAGGAGGGTTGAAGCCGATGAATGGAAGAGAAGAACAGGTAGCGGCCTATGTATAAAAAGGCAGATGCATGGGAGCTGCGGTACGTAATGTTACGGGTGGGCCGCTAGCTAGGGTTAGGCGCCACTGTTATGCGTCAGATTTCGTAAGGGTTCAAAGCCCGATGACACACTTCATATTACCAAATTACGGAGTAAGAAACAAAATTCTTACTCCTAAGGGCATCCCCATTGGTAGGATTATTAAGAGATTAAATAAGTGACGTGGCGGATTTTTTATAGAAGCATCATTGAGAGACATAAATTATTTAATGAGATTATTTGCTACAATAATCCGGGATCAAAATATGAAACCAGATTATTTAAATTGTATATGTAATAGAAGTTAATGCAGGACCAAAAAAATCGGATTATTTGAAGATGATGGTTGGGAGACATAAGCAAATATTGAGATTATTTAAAAATTAATTATATAACAATATTTAAAAGGTAAGAATCATAGGAAAAATTGATTATTAGAGATCATGAATGGAGATGCTCTAACAAATCTCTCCACCTTCCTTTTAATTTTCATTATAACTAAATAAATAATCTTTCCATTATTAAATTTTGGGAAAATTCCTAAATTGAAGTACAAAAGTTTTGAAATTTTAAAACACGACTGTCATTTTGTTTTCTAAATAGAAGTAATTTCTGCCAAATTTGGCATTTTAAGACTTTAAACATGACATGGATTACTCCTATTTAGGGAATAAAAATATGAAAGTTCTATTTTGAAATTCGAAATTGTTTTTACTCCTATATATTCAGGACAATTTCTATTAAATTTTTCATCATACCCTTAATAATTTTGAAAATAATACATTATTACAACTACATTTTTTGGATCTATCATTTGTTCCATCACACTATTTTTCCATC